GTTCACTCCAAGACCATAATTTTCCTTAAAATGCAATGTTTTCTTTAAAATGTCACTTCATTTTGTTTTATTTCAAAATTGTGTTTTCCAGAACAAGTGTACTGGGCTCGCGACCTCTTCTTTGTGTTTGTTGATGGCGGAGCCCCCGGCATGGATGCATGGCTGTCTGAGTATCATCTTGTGGAAGATAATGCTTTACGTGGTGAGCCACTTCCCGAAATGGGTGGAGTGATGATCGGTGGAGTTGTAATGAAGGTACGAAGAATATCTCCATGTTTATATTTTCCATATGAAGATATTACAGAGCCAGAATACCAGAGGGTCCAAAGATCCAGTTCTACGTATTGAATTGAGCCATCTTAATGGTCAACTACCTAATTTGGATCTTTTTAATTCTGTTGTGAGAATTGCTGGTAAAGGCAAATTCGCTCTTCTTTCAACTGTATATGGTGTCCGAGATATTGAGCAGGTGAGAAACTTTTTATGGGGTACCATTTTTTGTGATAGGAATAAAAACTGGAATAAGAATTTCTTACTTCACCATACTGAAAAGACTGCGAGTGTATTTGCCACAAAACAAGTCGTTATGCTGGAAGCCATTTAATGTAATTTTAAATGGTAAAAATTGTGCTGCGCAGATGGAGTAATCACACGTGGTCGTAACTCTAAACAAGAATAAAACAAGGGTAAGATTGGCAGCAAATCGCAATCACATCATGCGTGCAATGAATTATTTGGAATTATTATTATGACAACACTGTTTATGATAACTTTCTCTTTGAAATGGAACTCTGCAATCTCCTTCCAAGGAAAGGAAATCAAGTATTAAAAGTTTTTATCTGAGAGGACCTGAACTTTGGTTATTTCAGGGTGGCTCCGATTGGCATATGCTTGTCCCTTTACGAGCTATGTATACACAAGCCTTTATAGCTGTTGAAGGTGTTCACAGTGTTATGGGCAAGTATGGCGTTCAGGTAGGATGAGCTATATGTCGAAAAGTAATTCCTAATTATATTTTTTTACAATTTAGGCCATTACGGTAGCTGTGCCGTCGCTGGCATCGTATCCATTGAGACATTCTACAAGGCTACTGGAAGCTATAGCGCGATCCTTAAACAATGTTCTGGAACGATTCCATCAAAGCTATTTCCTGTGAGTATTAGAGCACTTGTCAGGTTGTGACGCATATTGGTAAAAAG